GTGGGAAGGCAGTTTTCAAACTGGCTCCCTGTGCATACTGGCTCCCGCAGAGCCCCTTGTCCCCCATGCTGCTGCCTCTCTATCAGAGGCAGCAGCAGGGGAATAGGGGAAATCAGGCGGGAGCCAGTGCTCGCAGGGAACCAGCTTAAAAGCCACCTTCCCACAAACAACAACTCTCACCTGACTCCCTGCACATAAATGTGTAACTGCTAAAAATTTCAGGTTACACATTTACACAAATACAATATTTTTAACATCCCTAGTCAGCATCAGCTCCATATTACTCTGAATGGTTTGAAGAAGATTGATATCACGCATGGCAACCTAGATTAAGGAGAAGGGGAAGCTATTAGTTGATACCTCTGCAGTAAACCTCCATTTGCTTATTCCCAATAAAGCTTAACCCTCTGCCCTGCCACCATGCCCCTTCCCACCTGTATTCTCCAGCAGGAAGAGAAAGTTGTGCACTCACAGAAAACGGGGGTGAGAGGGGGTGGGGAGGGTGCCAAACACACAGGCACTGAGTTAAGCCTCTGCCCTGCTGCCACACCTAGACCCCACTCTCCCTCCTGCAGGAAGGAAAAGTTGTACTCTCATGGCAAACAGAGGGTGCCAAACACATGGGTGCTGTGTGACCCCCCCCCTTACCCTTCCACCTGCCCACTCCAGTAGGAAGGAAAAGTTGCACTCTTCCAGCAAACGGGGTGCAGAACACACAGGCATCATATTCACTTGGGGTGGAAATGAGATATGCCCCTCAAAAAAGGTAACTATGAGAGGCATGATTTATTTTAGAGCATATATTGGGCACCAATAGTCCTTGGCGGGCATCAGATAACATTACTTCACAAACATCTCTCAGCTCTGTTACAGAAGAAATCTATGTGGGGTGAAAGAACAGTTCACTCTCTAGAGTCCATTCATTATTTGGTCTTAAATGAAAGGGTAAATTAGGTAGTTCCAAACACAAAGGTATTTTTCTTTATGTTGTGGACACCTTCTCACTAGGAACGCCTCCATTACCAATTAGTTTAATATATGTCATGAGGCAGTCAACATATTGCAACAATTTTTGGTTATTTGGAATATTTTCAACTTCCCCTCCATTACCACTGTTTGACAGAAAGTTGGGTTTTCAGTTAAACAATATTGTCACTTGGCCTGGACAATAGGGAGTGAGAGCCACAGTTAACCAAACTACAATACCAATGGGCACCTCAACAGCATTTCCAAATAGAAGTATATTGGATTCAGTCAACATTTTTCATTTTGCAAATTTCTGCTGAATGTGTAAATTTTCTGAGGGTGGCCTTAATTGAGGGGTTGATTTTCAGAAGCACTAAACTCCTGCCTTTGACTCCCAGCTGAAGTTGTGAATGATTACTTCGGGCTAGTCAATTTCTAAAAATGGCGACCGGCTGGGAACATGCTAATGAAGCGTGGGATATTTAAATCCCGTGCTTTATTTGCAATTTTGGTCGCCCTCATTAGCCTCCCTAGATCGAACTAGGGGGCTAGTGTAGACATACCCATATACTGGTAAGTTCTTAATAATGATGCTGATCCCTACATAAGGAAAAATCAAATACATCTTGTACTCTAGTGAACTTTCTATTTAGAGTAAGAATCTTCATTCTCCATGTTTGTGTAACCAGGTGTTGTCATAAGTTGTCATTTCCCAAACTCTGTAGTATATGCCAGATATGTATTTGTAGTTCAGACATCATGGGACAAATTTATCTCTGGAGTAACCAATCCAAAGTCAGTGGATCTGAGATGCGTTTGCCCAATAATGTTGTTAAGGTCAATTTAAAGTTTGGTCTGAACTAGCAACTAAGCAATACTGGATTTACAATTTGGGTCTTAAATGGTTAGAAATTAAAATACTCTTCAGGAGGCTTTGGGCATTGTATTTGAATTTCACCCAGAACTTAGACATAATTCTGTATTTGACCACAGTGAGAGATTAATTAAGGTCTCCTTTACTGCTGCAGTTCTTTTTTGGTGCTCATGATTTTTAAGCAGCTCTTATTCCTCTTGTTGCTATGAAACTGGCATTTAACCTACATTATAGATGAGACAGATGTTATCAGCTGTACTTACCTGCCCAGTGTCCACAGTGCCACCAAGTGGTTAATTATGTCTAACCAGAAAAGAGAAATGCCTAAAAATTATGAATAATCAATCTTTATACTTTAGGAATCAAACATTGAACCCCTGCAGAAGAAGTGTGTTTGTGTGTGCATGTATATGTACATATATGTTTGTGCATGTGTGTGTATAGCATCAGTTGTATTAATCCAACACAGGCCTACTTTTCAGTGGGCATTTTGGTTGAATAAGGACTATAGACTGGGATCTGGGAATGGAGATTTGATCAGGCTGCATGTATATTTTTGTTGCACTGACTTGACTTGATTCCTAAAGGTGTCGACATAATTTATGTGGTTTCTGTGGGTAGCCAGCTCCAGGAATTGCTGACATATTTGCAAAAACAACAAGGAATCCTGTGTCACCTTAAAGACTAAAGATGCATCTTCACTGCACCGTTATTTCAAGATAACTAGCATTATTTCAAAATAACAATGTCTACACTGCCATTCTGTTATTTCGAAATAATTTCAAAATAACAGAAGGCTTATTCCGAAATCTGTAAACTTAATGCTATGAGGAATAATGCCTCTTCCAAAATAGCTATTCTAAAACAAGGCATGTGTAGACACTCCACTGCTGGTATTTCGAAGTAGCCTCTCACCAGGGCCATTCTAAGTTCGGTATTTCGAAGTTGCCTCTCACCAGGGCCATTCTAAGTTATTCCTCCCCAGTGCCTCCTGGGTCTCTAAATCGAGATAGCACATTAGGGAAGCCTACCTTAGACTAATTTTGAGGCTTCCCTGCAGTGTAGACATGCTGTTTTGGAATAAGCTGTTTCAGAATAACTATTCCAGAAGAGCTTATTTTGACATAGCTGTGCAGTGTAGACATACCACAGATTTATTTGGGCATAAGCTTTTGTGGGTAAAACCTATTCATCAGATGCACCTGCCAAAGTGGGTTTTTGCCCATGAAAGCTTATGTGCAAAATCTGCTACTCTTTTAAGACGCCACAGGACTCCTCGTAGTTTTTGCAGATACAGGCTAACTTGGATGCCTTTCTGATACATATATGCATTACTGTGTAGGGATAAGGGCTATTTACAACTTCCTCTGAAGTGTCCAGTTTCTCGATGATACAAAAACAAATGGACCATTAGTTGGAAGCTTGGTTTAGAGGAAGGGAGAAATGGAGAAACTTCAGCTTTCTTGCCGTTCCTCTCCTTGGTATGGGTAGGTACATGTTCTCCATTGTGTGCCTGTGCCTGTGTGGGTGCGCTCGACTGGAGATGGGTGTGGGAGTCCATCATCTAGCAGCCATCATCTAGCAACCATTACTCCCTGTGTTCAAGGTGGTGGAGAGCTTATGCCACTAAAAGCACTACGTCCTTGATAGTGGATGGGAGGCCTGGTCATGATCCTTCCTCCCACTTCATCAGCAAGTGGCTTTAGTCTGGAGCAGCAGGGCATGCAGTCTAAATCTGTTGTACCTTTGTAGTGTGTTAAGGATTGATGACAAATGTAGTAGTCCATGTTCACATCCTTAAAATCATGTCAGAGAAAAGGTTTCAAGAACAACAGGCTCCAGGTCCACCAGAAGGCAAAGGCAATGTACAGTTGTTGTATTTGGAGTACTACCTACAAGCTATACTGAACACCGTATTGCAAACATTATAGCACTCCTGAAATGGAGAGAAGGACTATGGTGTAACGTATATAACTCAGGGATGCTGACAATGTCATATTTGTCAGGGGGCCAGGAAGTTCAGTGGTTAGGGCATGGACTAGGGAGCAAAGAAATGTGGGTTCTATTCCCCAGCTCTGCCAATTGGGTCAGTAACTTCAAATGTATATGTAGCACTTTAAAGACTAACAAGATGGTTTATTAGATGATGAGCTTTCGTGGGCCACTGTATTTTGTTTCAGCTACACCAGACTAACACGGCTACATTTCTATCACTATTAAAATGTATATTGTGCCGTAGCTTCCCCACTTGTCAAATGAGGATAATATTTGTGACCCACCTGTGCAAAGCACATTTGGATCGTTGCATAAAAAGGTGCTGCAGAAGTGTGTATTATCATAACACGGAAGCTGATACTCCTACCTATGGTGAAGGATACAGAACACACTATCCTATTTTTCATCTCTGTGACTCATATATATGCACGGGCCATTTAACATGTGTGCTAAAATGTCAGGAGAGTCACATTCAGGCCTTGGCTTGATGATCCTGGAAAAACTATACAGAAAACCCACTAGTACTTCTGAGAATGGTGGGGAGGGAGAATGTTGCGTAATTCTCTAGTGACTTCCTCTGATCCAAGAAGTGTTATTGGTCCTAACCTGTCGGTCATCCCTCTTCTTCCTTTGGTAACAGGGGGTCAGGATGTGAAAGAGCAAATGAAAGGGTTTCTAAGGCATCAGAACAATTCCTTTCCCCCTTAAAAGGTGTGCAAAGCTTTCAGGACAATGCCCATTTATAAAACATATGTGAGTGATACAATTTGGTCTAAAAAGCCCCAAGTAAACACCAGGGATCCTTGGTTCTGGCAATTTAATCTCTAAAAACGTGTATTACAGTAGCACTTAGAGACTCCAGTTGGGAATTGGACCCCATTGTGTAAGGTGCTGCACAAAGAGGTATTAAAATCCATGCTCTGGCCCCATCTCCTTCCACAAATTCATTGCACTAATATGCAGTGAATTTCTTTTTCTAGTTTTGGTTTTACTTATTCAAAACCATAAGCCAAATGCTAGTCCCCTGGGACACATGGTGCTTTAGCCCAGATCCACAAGTAACTTTTTACACAGGTGAGCAGTTCCATTGAACTTGGTGAGACTAGTCACATGTGCACTCACTTTTCTAAGTGCCTGAAGGTTGCAGATCTTGACTTGCCTTTCTTTCATAGACTCACATGTTTGTATGTGTTCAGGGAGGGAAGGTGGAATAGCTCATAGAAATATTAATAAGTCAATGCAATGCAAGACAAAAGAGAGATTTTCTTAGGCATAAAATGTAACAGGAGCCCTTCAGAGGTGGAGGGATATTCAAAAGCATTTAGTACTGGGCTAGCTCTACTTCACAGAAGTCAGTGTGAGTTTTGCCATTAACTTCCATTGGAGCAAAGTTAAGCTAAGTTGACTACTTCTGAAGATCTCACCACAAGCTTTCCACAAGGAGACAATACCCAGTCCAACATTATCTCTGAGGAAATCTGTGTGGACTTAGCTTTACACACTTATGTACACAGTGGCCAACATGCAATATTAAAAAGCATTTTTCTTTTATTTACATGCAGATAGTATGTGATCTTTTTAAAAAGACTGTTCATGGTTCTAAGATAATTGTTCCAAAAAGCAGACTGTAATGAAAATTAAAAAAAACAAAAAACACCCCACCAAGTATACAAGAAAATCAATGCATTTAATAAAATAAAGCAAATCTTTGTCTCCCTTTAAACTGTATGCAAAAATATGTAAATATGTCTGTTCAAAAAAGATAAATCTCTTTCATTTAGTGGTGCATAATAATTACTCAAATCTATTAGACAAATGTATTTGGTGGGTTTGAATTAATAGGCCATGCAAGCTTTTTTTCCTTTGCTTCTCTGTCAAATGAATCATAGATTGAGTCTTTGGTTACAGTTTTGGTTGGTGCAGGGATTTCTGAGATTCCGACATAATTTTTTTTGGCTATCCTGGAACTGGTGGTGATGGTGTATGCATTGCTTCGATAGCACTTCATAGAGGACATGCAAAATGTTTCTTTCATCCCTTTCCTGAAGTTTGCATTATACACTGAGTACAGGATGGGCTTAGAGGCTGAAGAACTAAAGGATATCCAAGTGATAGCCATAAAAACCAAGGAACTCTTTCTGTAGTCTGTTTCCTGTGGGTGCCACAGCTGCACCACATAAAAAGGGAGCCATGATAGTAGAAATACTAAATTTAACATCAGGAACATCTTGATGGTTTTCACTTTTGTCCTTGGAACTATATTCATGGTCCGCCTAACTGTTCTGCCATCAGTACCTATCCTCCAAATGTATTTGATGACCTTTTGGTAAAACAGGATGATGAAAATGGATGGAATCAAAAAACTCACTAATAGGTGGATGATGCTATAGACAGCTCCCTCCCAAGAATAAGGGAGAAAAAAGTTGCAATGGTTGTCCCAACTAGAGCCATAGAAGAAGAAAGCTGGGGATACAAAAGCGGCATCAAAGATCCAAGATGCTGCAATCATTTTCTTGGCTTTTTCTCTGGATACTTTGAAACTCAAAGGGTAGACAATTGTGTAGAACCTGTCTACGCAGATGGAGAGCAGCACGTAGATCTGGACTCCAGGGGTGAGATACTGAAAATATCTCACCAGTTTGCACATGATGCTTCCAAGGGTCCACCTGCCAGACATAAACTGGAGCAGCACAAATGGAGCACTTGCCATGCTAATGAGGAGATCAGCACAAGCCATGGAGACCACAAAGTAGTTGGTTGTAGACTGAGTTCTCCTGCTCCTGTGGATCACTAAGCAAACGAGGGAATTTCCAAAGACAGAGAACAACCATAATGCTCCAAAAACCATGCTGGCTGCTACTATTTCCCCTGGTCTCAGTTCATACTGCAGGACAGTACTGTTCCTCTCTGACCTGTGTTCCTGGGAGAAATCTGCCATCTCATGGCTTGCCAGAGACATAGAGGTGTTAGAGTGGCTGTCGTTCTGTAGTGGTAGCAGTACTGTTGGGATAACAAAAGCACTTTTGCTACTATCCATACCATGGGCAAACATCATAGTTATGTTTTCCTCTTGAGCTCTGCATGGAGACAGAAGCAGGAACATTATTGTTAAAAGGGGGAGGGAAAAATATGGTTAACAACTAATACATTTGGCTTTGGGATATTACTATGAAAAGTAAACAAACCCACATTTGAGTATAAATCGCACCTTTTTATAATCCATTCCATACTTCCCTGACACCCTGGATATGTGGGTGTTGGTGTGTATATATATTTTTATGTGTACATGCATGCACGCGCGCGCGCTGCCATGTGGTATATATCTGTATTTATCTATCTAGCCCTGAGGGACCTGCGGAAGAGATTATAAACAGGAGCTCTTTTTTAAAATTCACATGTGGGGTGGAGATTTGTTTATTTTTCATATCAGTAGCCCACAACTTCATGGACCAAAGGCCAAATCTTGCTCTCCTCATTGTGAGTCAGAGCTTTGCTACTGACAGCAGCAGAACAGATGTTTGGACCTATGTTCACAGAGAGCTGCAGTGATGAGAGAGTCACAGACGAAACCATGACTGGGAAGCATAGAAATGCTAAAAAATTCTAAATTAGTAACCTTCTGCAAAGCTGCTCATGAACTCACTTCCCCTTGTTGCAGCAGCCTGTGTGCTGCCCATCCCTTCAAGCAGCAGCAGCAGCAGGTTGCTGAATCCTTTCTCTCCCCTGGCATTTCTCAAGCTGCCTCGTGGTGGACAGGGAGGGAAGATAGGGCCAAATATGAGGAGAAGAAGCCCTTGCATCTTGGAAGGAATCAAGGGAAATGATTCCCATAGCTCCTGCTTCCCTGCCACCTATGAGAGAAGACAAGAAGATCCTTTCCCTGCTATCTGGGAGAGCAATCGGCAAAGTAACGTGAGTGAAAAGTGATGGTAGGTAACTGAGAGGAGGGAATGGGGGAGAGAGGAGAGAGTGTGGAGGGATGTGTGCCCACTGGTGGTAACTAGATAACTGACAAAGGTGAGTGAGAGAATTAGGTATGTATGTGACATGGGGGACTGGACATCTAAATTCCAGGTTCATAAAACTCCCACTGAACCCCACAGGTGCCTAAATTAACTCTGCTCCAAAGTTTTTGAGAGAGAAACTCCCAAAGTGCCAACGTTTCTGCTTCCTGGACTACCCTGCACACTCTAGGTGTTCGAATGCTTCTCTCCCACCTATGTCACAGTGTGATTCACAAAATGGCGGAAAATTGATGTTCACCTGCCTTTCTCATGTGCAAGACCCCATCTGTAGGCATACGTAGAGGCTGCCTACCCAACCTGGTCTCATTCAAAAATATGGTTGCCAGAGGAAAAGGTTAACAACTTGCTTCAGGCTGCAGTCTCACCGTTGTCCTGTTGCTTTCTTTCTCTGGCCCAGCCAGCCTCGGAGACCGAGTCCCCTCCCTCCCCCCGCCAATCCCTCGTCAGACTGTCTAACAGCACAGTGTTTGAGCAGTGGCAGGTTCTTATCTTCCCCTCTAATAGAGGGAGGGATTGAACTGGGATCGCTGCCAGGTCGGTGCTTGGATCACTAGGCTAACAGCTATAAGGTTGGCACTTGCAGTATCTCTTCTGGCTGTTAGAGGGGAGAGGGCCTAACTCATTCTCACAACTGGCAGGCTCGTCAGACTGTCTAACAGCACAGTGTTTGAGCAGTGGCAGGTTCTTATCTTCCCCTCTAATAGAGGGAGGGATTGAACTGGGATCGCTGCCAGGTCGGTGCTTGGATCACTAGGCTAACAGCTATAAGGTTGGCACTTGCAGTATCTCTTCTGGCTGTTAGAGGGGAGAGGGCCTAACTCATTCTCACAACTGGCAGGCGCCTTGGCTGTCCGACTCTGCGAGAGGCGTTTCTGGCTGTGGATCACTAGTAGAGATAAGTGCCTGAAACCGTGTGCCCAACATTGAGAGAGAGGTGGGGCTCAGGACTTCTCATCAGCATCGCCTTGTTGGCTGGCTGAGACAGTTCCTAGCATGTTGGCTTTTATGGATGGTATTCAGAGGTGGCGGTCTCTTCATTAGTCATTGTATAAGGGGGAGCCTGTCTCAGGATTTGTTGATCACAGTGTTGATCCTGTGGCTTTCTTGGCTCCTAAAAGTTAGGCATTGTGATGCTGAGCATTGCCGTGTGTGAGCTCCTTGGGTAAGGGAGAGGAGCAAGTGGTGGAAGCAGAGATGTGTGTATGGTGGGTGACTGGTTGTCATGGTAACCAGGTAAGGGAGATGTGTTATTGGGGGCTGGCTTATTGGGGTGAGTAAATGGCCACAGGGAAGGTACCCAAGAGTATTGGTGGGGTGGTTGTCTCCTGATCTGTCCACCATCCAATGTGAGGCCTCGTGCCATTGTACGCCATTTCCTTCAGCAACTGGAGAACCATACACTTGAATAAACTACCCCGGAGAACGCTGCCTCACTCGCTTCACCCCTCCTTAGTTATCTGCTTCTCTCTCTCCAGTCACTTCCTCTGAGGATTAACTGCTCATGAATTCAAAATCTTTTTACCAGCTGCAGAACTTTCTCAGTAGGGCTGGGGAAGAAGATGGCAGAAAAAAGTCTGTTTGTGAAAGAGTTGGTAGAAGGTTGGGAGGTGAGGGGGAATCCAGTTAGGTTTTGTCCCGTGCACTGATTATCTTGCCTTTACTCTGCCTATTGCTTTTTTTTTTTTTTTTTTCGTTAGACAGGAAATACAGCCAGCCTCTGAGGATTGTGTGCGCTCTGGAGGGATCTCTGTGTGAGGACTGCAATCTTGGCTAGGACTAGGGATCTCCAGCGCAGAAAGCACAAGTCTCTATAGCTTGAACTAAAGGGTCAGGCTGTCCAGCTGGGGGCTGTCACGGAGGGATACATATGCAGCAGCACTCGGCTGTCATTTTGAGGATTTGCACTGACATTCTTGGAGTAGGAACTCTGAATATTAAACAAGCACCTGAAAGTTCTGGTGCACAGCTAATTTATGCTTAGTTGTGTCCTGTGACTCTGCCAGAGAGAATGAGTGAGAGAATATACTTGTGTCTACTTTAGATGCACTGTAAAAATAAATCCTGTAGCTTTGTGACTGGGTTATAAACTGCTGCAGTAAGCTGTTGCATGTAGAGATCAATTCACCACTTAAAAGCTGAGACTTTTGGGACAGCTCCTAGCTATTTCACAGAAAAATTCGTGCCCAGCTCTGGGAATAAGTGATGTTTGGCTGGTTTTGAGATGGGTGAAATTATTTTCTCTGTGTTTTGGGGGCCACACTATGAATTGACACATTGCTTTCCACTGGGCCAGAACCGATTGTTTTGGAACAATCAGTCACATGAACACAAACTTATCTTTTTCTATGCTCACATGGCTCCATCTGCTTCCCTACTGGAGCTCTGCAGAGACCCTTATTTTCTCTAACTTCCTAGTAGTACAATCCATGCAGCTGTGTTAGAAGCCTTCATGCCTCTAAAGAGGAATTACCTACCAACCCATTAGTCAGAAAAGAAAGTATAAGATTGGAAAGTGCATAGGCCCTTGATCACGTAAGGGGGATGAGTGCCCTAGAATTGCACTGATGTTAGTGGGATTTGAGAGCACTCAGCATCTTGCCAGGTGGGACTCTTGGTCTCCTACTGAGCACTGAAGAACACTCTCACCTTGTCAGTGCTCCAATTAAGGATGTAAGAGACTAGTTGATGATTTCATATGCATATGCTTATCGGATAGTCGATTACTGACTTGATTAGTTGCTCCCCGCCCACCTTGCTGCCTCTATCAGAGACAGGCAGTAAAGCAGGGGAGCAGGAGCCAGTGCTGGGGGCAGCCAGCTTAAAAACCAGTTGCCCCCAGCACCGTGTGTGTGTGGGGGGAAGCGAAGCAGTGGGGAACTGGCGGCACTTCCACCTTTTGAAATGTAGCTTTTGCTACATTTCAAAAGCAGAAGCGCTGCAGGGAGTATGGGACGAGTGGGAGATTCAAACAGTCCCCCACTGGCCCTATGCTCCCTGCTTTTGCAATGTACAAGAGCCCCTGGGACTCTTTTGTATTTCAAAAGCAAAGCGTGCGAGGAGCACGGGGCCAGCGGGGGACTGCTTGAATCCACCGCTTGCCCCGTGCTCCCCATGTCGCTTCTGCCGTTGAAATGTAGCAAAAGCCAGAAGAGTTATTGCTACATTTCAAAGGTGGAAATGCCCATATTGACTAATTGAATTAATTTAATTGATTGAATTAATTGAATTAATTTAGTTGATTAATCTAAATTTAACATTCCTAGCTCCAATTCCAAAGGCTAACCATAAAAATCATGAGTAATAATAACAGTCCCTTATTTTTATACAGTGCTTTTCATTCACGAGGCTGCCCAAATTATTTCTCAGTGTTTGTATCTATACAGGAATTGTTTCATGTCACGGAAATGCAGCCACCTCTGGGGTCGAATGCAGCTGTCCTTTTTTCCCAAATGAATTTTTAGGAAGCAAACAAAGCACAACTTCTCCCTTTGAAAGTACAGAGGAAATTTGGTGAGGTAGGATGTAATTGTCGAGTTTGAGATTTGGCTGGGGAACTGGCACCAACACATCTAATCTTGGAGAAAATTCCAGTGAAATCTCTAATGATTGAGCCGGAGTTCCACATTGCATCTGAAACACAACATCTCCCGCACTGCAGTGTCCCAAGTGATGACACCAATGGACTTGGAGGAAAAAGTGTGAATGACTCGTTCACCAACACCACTCGTTGAAACACCTGGTTTTCCCTTGCAGATGTCATGTTGATGAATCCAGGAACTTCCAATGTCACAGCTCAAGCTGAAGGCTGAGTGGCTTTAAAGGAAGCAATTCAGAGGTAATAATGATTGCTTCTGATTACTCTTGTAATTTTTAAGTGGTGGCAACTATACTCAGGAGTCTCCTGACAAATCGATGTAGTTGTGCACTGTTAAAAAATCTTCAATCTGACTGCTAATCTACAACTGTTAGATGTTAAGAAACTATTCCGAGTCCCTGAGACAATGGTCACAACACACAGAATAATTCAGGATGGGGAAGAGATGCAAAGTTGG